ATGTCTTTCAGGTTCACTGAAGTGGTGGCATGTGTCAGGATTTCCTCCTTCGAAGGCGGAGTCAGATTTCACGGCATGTACACACCACACTGCGTCTGCGCATTCATCCGCTGACGGACGCCTGGGCTGCTTCCACCTTCTACCTGTGGTGAATACTGTTGCCATGAACATGTTGTGCGAATATCTCTTCAAGACCTTGCTTTCAATGATTTTGGATATATACCCGTAAGTGGAACTGCTGGGTCAAATGGTAATTCGATTTTTAACTTTTTGAGGAACCGCCATACCACTTTCCATAGTAGCTGCACTGTTTCTCATGGCCACCAACAGTCCACAAGGGTTCCAATTTCTCCACATCCTCACCAATACTTATTATTTGAGGGACTTTTGCTGATAGGCGTGAGGTAGTATCTCACTGTCCATTTGATCTTTAAATTTATGACTATTCTTGAGACATTTTTGTAAATTTTATAAATCAGTACAAAAACAAATTTCAGTCCAGTTTTTCTTCAAATTTTGTTTTATTCTGAATAAGAGGAAACAAATTAGGCTTCAAAAAGCTAGTTTTCTTCTTTTGTTAGTCTTAACTGGATATTTATATTGGTCTAAGACAGGAAGAAAACCTATTAAATTACCCCAGAAATATGCAGGAATGCATTATGTATGATCCCAATTGGTAAGACTTAAAGTTTTCTTAATTTTTATGTTTTATTTGTTTTTTTGTTTTGAGACGGAGTCTTGCTCTGTTGCCCAGGCTGGAGTGCAATGGTGCAACCTAGGCTTACTGCAACCTCCATCTCCCACGTTCAAGCGATTCTCCTGCCTCAGCCTCCAGAGTAGCTGGGATTACAGGCACCCACCACCACATCCATCTGATTTTTTTATTTCTGGTAGAGACAGGGTTTCACCATGTTGGTCAGGCTGGTCTCAAACTTCTGACCTCAGGTGATCTGCCCACCTCGGCCTCCCAAAGTGCTGGAATTACAGGCAGGAGCCACCACGCCTGGCCAACTCCTATGTTTTATGTTAAGCAGATAACTAATAATTACTAATTCGCTAGATATGTACCAAACACTTTCCTTCCCATTTATTCAGCATTCCTTTATTTTACTTTATTTATTTACTTATTTATTTTTTTGAGACAGAGTTTTATTTATTTTTTTGAAACAGGCTGGAGTGCAGTAGTACGATCTCGGCTCACTGGAACCTCTACCTCCTGGGTTCAAGCGATTCTCCTGCCTCAGCCTCCTGAGTAGCTGGGATTACAGGCACATGCCACCATACTCGGCTCACTTTTTGTATTTTTAGTAGAGACGAGATTTCACCATGCTGGCCAGGCTGGTTTCAAACTCCTGACCTCAAGTGATCCACTTGCCTCGGCCTCCCAAAGTGCTGGGATTACAGGTGTGAGCCGGCCTCAGCATTCCTTTGATGCTAGGCACTGTGGTAGGTGCTGGGGATGTAAAAATGAATAAGAAAACATTGTCCCCATTGCATTGTGAAACATTGGGGTATAATTATCCCCACTTCACATCTGAGGAACCTGAAGCTACTTAGGTTTAGCATCTCGGCTAAGATCAGATAATTAGAGCTTAGAGCTTGGGGAAGAGGGAATTCAAATTCAAGGCTTACTTCAAAGCTCAACCTTTGTGCCGTCCCACAGACTACACTCTGTACTATCAACAGCTACCATGAGGCTAGGCACGGTGGCTCATGCCTGTAATCCCAGCACTTTGGGAGGCCGAGGAAGGCAGGTCACTTGAGCTCAAGAGTTTGAGACCAGCCTAGCCAACACGGCAAAACCCTGTCTCTACACATATAAAAAATTAGTCGGGTATGGTGGCTTGCGCCTGTAATCCCAGCTACTCGAGAGGCTGAGGTGGGGGGATTGCTTGAGCCCAGGAGGTAGAGGCTGTAGTGAGCTGTGATGGTGCCACTACATTCCAGCCTGGGCAACAGAGCAAGACCCTGTCTCAAAATAAAAGAAGAAAAAAAAAACCCAATGTTATTTAAGGGAACCCTTTTTATAAAGTAATAGGCACCTATAATTTCTGTTTTTTACTTTATATTTCCAAATGTTGGGTTTTCAAAAGAGTGGCACAATGAAGGAAATCAAAAACAAAACAACAAACCTTGTAGAACCTTCTCCATCTAGGAGTTGATAATTGAATTAGAGGCACTTTTTCAAGCAATGTTATCAAAGCATGCAAAGTAACAAAGAATAGTTTAATACAAACAAAAACAGTAAATCCTAGAGTGAGCTTTTAATATCTGCAGCTTACTAAAAAGTTCACATACTTTCCAAAGCTCACTGGCTGCCAAAAGTTAGAATTTTATACCTAAGCAGTTTGTTTCCTAGACAGGAATCTAATTACAAACAGAAGATCCTTCCAGTCCTATATAAAATTCTCTAAGAGACAGAAACAATAAGATTTAAGGAGCCAAAGAATCAACAATTGCATTGACTCTCCATTTAAACAGAAAAACAAAACAGAAGGAAAAGAAAGAGCAAAACAAAAAATATTCTGGCTGAGGAAACTTTGGAAAAATAATAAAACTTCAAAAATATTTTTTTATCCCATTTCAAACATTATTCTTTCAGTTAAAAAAGTGGTTTTAAAAATAATTTGGTTCTAACATTTAAACTTTTAGCTAATATAATTCTGTATAATTTTTAATCTATGAAAAAATAAATTATACTGTATGAAAGCAAAAAATGCTACAAATAACTGTAACAACTTCAACGTACATAATCTTAGAGAAAAGTTTTATGAGCACAATAGCCCCTTCTAATTTAGGTAATTTTTCTTATCAATATTCTCAATACTTCTATCAAAGGTAATTTCTAAATGTTGAAGAAGAGTGGATAGGATGAGTACCTTGAAACTTATTCCCCTTTTAGAACTTTTAAAAATCTCAATATTAAAGATGAACTATTTAAAACATACGTGTATTTCTACAACGAGGTTTTTTGTAGTTGTTTCTTAAAGACATGCTAGTGAATACCGTGGCGTTGTGAAACAAAACGTTTTGTTGAGCCAGATGGAATAGAAGAATGTACCTTACTGGTAAAGCCAAGACCTAAAACAAGTTTTGTGTACTTTCAGGTATAGAATAAGTTTGGGGGAAATAGCTAGGAATGCTTTGGTTAAAACATAAGCTGTCTTCGATTAATTCAAATGTTCTGAATTCAACAAATATTTATTGATTACCTACCATGTTCCAAGTACTCTGCACAACACTCAGTATTAACAGATCAGAAATGGTCCCAGACCTTTTGGAACTTACAGGGTAATGAACACATCCTTCAAAATTATCCTTTCTTTTGTGTGATCCCATGGTCATCAAATACAAATTCACACTACCCAAAGCTTAGTACCCATAAAACAGTATATTACATTACCAAAATCAGCCTGCGGGTCAATGTATATACCCCTATTTCAATTAATAAATCATTCAGGCTTGCACATCAGTCTTTCATGAGTTTAGTTGAGTGAATCCTCAAAACTTAATCAATTCTGATTAATTGGTTAGATGTAATTTCTGAAAATTCAAAATACAGTAGCTGGCAATCAAAATAGTAATGGACTATTTCCATTAAAAGATCACCAAAGTGAGTCTCTACTTAGTTTATCCCCTGACAAAATGCCTTTATTTCATAATACCCTTCAAACTGCAACTAGTTAATCCATAAAACTGTTAACAATAAATGAGATATAGCATATGAGTGCTTCTGGAACTTTGTTGTTTTTTTTTTTTTGAGACGGAGTTTTACTCTGTCGCCAGGCTGGAGTGCAGTGGCGCGATCTTGACTCACTGCAGCCTCCGCCTCCGCAGTTCAAGGGATTCTCCTGTCTCAGCCTCCCGAGTAGCTGGGACTACAGGGCGTGCCACCACGCCCGGCCTTCTCAAACTTTAATGTACATACAAATCACCCACAGACATGTTAAAATGAAGACTGATTCACTAGGTCGGGGACAGCCAGTGATGTCCAGGCTGCTGTCCACGGACTACAAGGATACACACCTAGCACAGTGGTTGGCACCGAGACTACTCAGCCCAGTTAACTATTCCCTCCCATTTGTATATATCTCATCTCCCTTACTGATCTCACCTTCCTTGGAAGCAAAGACAATGACTTTCTCATCTTTGTATCTTTCAAAGTTCTAAGTAGAGTGAATGCCTTATCTACATAATGGCATTAGATATATGTATTCTGAATGAATGGCATCCACCTTTTAACAGTGATTATTTCTTCTATGAGTTATCCACAGAATTGTTTCTCTGAATTTATTTTAAATAGAAAAATATTGTTCAAAAGCTGAAAAATCAGGAAAACTCTCAATTTTAAAAACCGGTAAATACTGTATTTGTACCATACTCCAGTGCGTTTTTTCTCATGCTGACCTAACCTTTTTTAAGAAAATAAATATCCATAATTACCTGCTAGTTTATCTCCTAATGGTTTTCCTTTTTTTTTTTTTTGGTAAATAAAAATAAGCCATCAATTTTTCAGGGAAAGTTTTAAAACTACCCTTTTCTTTGTATGCAAGGGCATCTTTGTAAAGTAATACCTATAAAATAATCCTGGCTTCTCGGATTAATATTATATAAAAATCACAGTATCCTTGTTATCAATAGGTAGACCGTTGGCACAGTTTCATGTGTGTCTTCGCCGATTTTCTGTGATCACCGGAACAAGTGACTAAATATCTCAGGATTCGTTTCTTCCCTTGTAAATATTAGCTGTTAACCTGACCACACTTGGTTCTGTGCAGAGAAAAATGGTTTGAGGGGGTGTTTTGAGCACTCCAGAAAGAAAACAAAGGAGGAATATTTTCACTTCCTACTTGTTTACCTTTACTGTTTTATGGCTTTTTGGATATTTTTGGGTGACTTTGCCACCTACCAAACACAATTATTTTTGAGTACCTAAGGGCATGGTAACCAAGGATCGGGTTTTAATCCTACCATTAATCACACCATGAATTGAAAACAACATGAAAGGTCTTGCAAATAAACGTAATCACTTTTTGGCGTCTCCGCACAGGCAACACACCGATGCCTCTGATCTGGCGACCTTAAGCCTCGAAGCGCAGTCCCGCCTCTGCAGGCGGCCACCGCGCGGGGCTGGGTGGTCCCCCGGGGACCGCGAGCGGTTCCAAGGTCTCCGCCAGCTTTTGGTTTTCATCTTTATTAAAACTGCTGTTTGGGTGTGTGTCTTTTTTTTCTTTTTTTTCTTTTTTCTTTTTTTTTTTTTTAAGACAAGACACCAGGCCAGTTGCGCGACGCAAGCCGGCCGCGGGGCAGGCATTTCGGAGCACCGGGAAGCTCGGAGGCAGCGGCGGTGACCTCCAGACCGTCCTCCTGCGTCCTCATTAAAGGAGGCAAAATGGTGGCCGCGAACGCCATCAGGCTGCGCCAGGGCGGGGTTTCGGCGCCAACACAGAGGATCCCGCCAGATTCTGGCGGCCAGAACTCCTCCTCACCCAGGCCACCCCCCGGGGCCCACAGCCTGGGCAGCTACGGGCGT